GCTCATCCAATTAGAAACAAAGAAACAAATATTGGGGAAAGGAATACACTCAACATCACAGATGATCCGTTTCGCCCGTTATCGTAGACGAATCATCGATGTCTTACCAACCCCCGGGCTCCTCAGTACGATAGAGTTGAGACATGGACATGGACTACATAGGGGAAGGAGTTAAGAAAAGGATATAGCGAGAAAAAATGCAAAAAAGTTGACATGCAAAATCCATGCAATAAAGATAAGAAAGAAAGAAAAAAAGGGACTGTGCATGGTAAAAGAAAGTAAGAATATAACCGGTGTGAGTACCAAGATTGGGTAAGAGGAGAAAATGAGGAGTTGTTTGTAGGTGGGCACAAAACTAAGGCTAATAATGAGTAAAAGACACTGTCGAGGCGGATTAAAGAGGTTAAATGCAAAATTTGTTGTTGTTAAAAAGCGAGGCTATGTGTTACGCGCTGCCAATGAGAATACCTCTAACCAGTCTACTTATCTTTTATAGTTATTTGCAATAGAGTATTTGTAACTTATAAATTTATTTTTGTAAATACATTTCACAATGCTAGTAATAATAAATTCTTCTTCGTAGCCATTTTTCGAAAGAGTAGTGACCATATCCGTTATTTTGCTTACGAATACATTGAAGAAAGAACAAGTGTTTGCTAACCTCAACGTTTCCGTATATATAACAGAGGATTTGTTAATAAGGGAAATGTTTGTGTCACTGTTGGGCAAAATCTAATAACATTTGACGGTAAAATCAGATCCGTTTATTTATTCGTATTAATTTTACCGTTAGTAATATTGATTGCTGAACAATTGCTGGAAACTTCACTTTTATGAGTTTTTTTCAATTGAAGCGTATTTTGATAAACTTGAGAAAGTTGTTCATCCACTTCACCATCAGTTTGGTTATGTACAACAAGCAAGTCATCCATATATCTATATGGAATGAACAGCTTACTGTTGTTATACTTTTTGGATTTAGCATAGTAATACTCCATGACAGAAAGCGTAAGATCTGCTAGTAGTGGACTGAAATTGCCACCTTGTGGGACACCTTTAGTCTGAACGTATTATTAGCAAAAAGACAAAAGCTGTTACGTAAAAGATAATCGATAAGGTATACTAAATCGCTGGATTTGTAATATCTGTAGTTGTTTTTAATTTCTTTACCATCTGTATAGAAAACATGGTAACCATTAGTGGCAATAAAGGATCTGTTGGCATTTTTGAAGCAAATGTTAAGAAGTTCTTGCATTTTCTTTATAATGAGATCATGTTCTAAATTTGTAAACATGTCCGTAGAATCCGCAGTGTAGAATTTTGAGATCCTCTCAAAAAATCTCTAAATCTCTTCAAAATTAGAGTTTGCCAGCAAATATTCCCGAGGAATATAGCCCTCATTTAAGAGCGCATGCTTATGCACTTTACTCGGAGCGTCAACAGCCTGAGTCCGACGGCAAGGGGTGGAGTTTGCCCAGTGGGCGGGCCACCTAATACTTCTATGAATCCAGTTCTTTTCCATGGAGATTTACTTCATTTCTAACCATAAGTTGTAAATTTGGAGAAAATTATAATTTTACTATATTTTAGGGCTCAGGTCACTTCGTGCCAAAGTCGCGTACGCAGCTCAAGCACTAGATTCAAATACTGCGAAACTTTGTGAATGGATTCAGCTACGATAACTGCCTACAGATGGTGAACCTTGGCGCTGCACCACTGCTGCCCATCTACTACTATCTGAACCCTTCTACATCGAGAAGGGACGCCGATAGGGTGAGGAGTCCTCCTTTATTTCGATGCTTAAAATCAGAACCAATAAATCGCAGCCGTTTTCCTTCCGAAGCAGAAGTGGGCGACCGTGAGTTAGGAACGTGAAAATGAATATACTTGGAACTCCAAAGTTAGATCGCTCGAGGTTTCAGAATTTTTTAATATTTCGAATTGGGAACTTGTTCCGCCCGCATCATGCCATGAAAATCGCAATGAGTTAAATGTCAATATGCATAGCATTCTCTCGCGTCAAAACATGACGCTGCACGACCGCGCGCATGATTGCAGCCAATATGAACTCGGCACGTACTGTACAGCGCTGGCCTCTTTTACTATTTGTTTGTTGCCCATTTTCATTCTGGGTTGAATGCCACGAAAGGCGCTTGAGTTTAAAGCAGACGTCTGCTGCGACCTTCCTTCATGTTACCTATCATTTTCTTTACGTTTTCCAAAACACAACTATGTTTTAACTACTTGCCCAAAAAAATGAATTCTAGTTTTCCCCTAAAGCCGATGGGGAAGGGGAAGGGCGGGAGGTCACCACGAAACAGCTGCAAACTTCGACTATAGAAAATAGAAGTTGTGTGGAACTTTCTCTGCACCGCCAACTGTGAAGAGATTTGTTTCTCCGTTGACTGAATTGCGAAAAAATTCTCTCCTGAGGTTGTTTAACCTCCTGAGTACGAAATATCAACATCAGCCACGAAAAACTGGCTTAGAACGCGCCAACGCCGCAGACGGCCGGCGCCAAAATATGTACCCCAAATCAGCCGGCGCCAAAATACACCGAATCACCGATGCCTGTGAGGCGGGCGCCAGAATGTTTCGGGCCAAGCGAATGTGATATTCGTATTCAGGAGGTCAAACTACCCCAGAGACAACATTTGAGCCAAATCTGTCCACGGAGAAAAAAGTCGGTCAAAAACTGGCTCGATTCCGGATGATTGGGGCAGTAAGGGGTAAAATGTGCCACGAGCAATTGAGACACCTCCTCTCTGCAGCGACCAGACACGACATCCGTTGGCGATTGCCCAACTTACAGCGCTCCCTGATTGCTACTGGGACATGACCGACCTCCCCGTTTTTCGGGATACGAATCTCCTGGTTTTTCGGGACCTTACCGAGCTTCCATTTTCTTGAAATCATCACCACCAAAGTTTTGTTCACGGAGCTCAAGGTGACGTCTTCTGATCGCGGAACCTCTTCAGATTATCGAGCTACCTGGACTCTCATATGAACCCAATTTCCAACAATACTCTGGATTTCTTCGCGGCTCAGACAAGCACCGTCTTCACTACTGGTAATTCTTACTTCAAGAAAAGTTGAAGACCCACAAGAAATCTCTAGGCTTTCAGGTTTGTTCAGCGTGCAACCGATAGCCCAGACACTCCACTTCTACTCTGGCTGAACGGAGGACCAGGAAGCAGCTCTGTATGGGGAATGCTGACTGAGAACGGGCCCTTCCGACCGAATCGTGACGGCAAAACTCTTTACGAGAATCCTTACTCGTGGAACAGGGTGAGATTTATAGTTTCCACCTTATGTAGTTTATTTGTTTTTATTTTATTTAGGCCGAACGCAAACTTTATTTTGCACCAGTTAAGGATTGATTCTTTCTAGAAGGCCACAGCTCTACCGGCCTT